AGCAGAGGTCACAACGGAGGGAAGGAGAGCGAGAATGGGCAGTGGAGGAGGAGACAGTGACGGCCTCTTGGGGCAACTGCAGGAATTCAGCCCACCAACTGCCACATCGGAATGTCCCCTCAAGAGGAGAGGCCCGGGGGACCTTGGAGGAGCTGCTCCCTCACCGAGTGTGGAGAAGCCCTTCGATGCAAGGGCTGGACGGTGGCAGCCAGGGAGGAGCCCTGCTCAGCTCCCCCTCCAAGGACCAGCTGGCCGCTTTGCTGCACGCAACGCGGTTAGCGGACACCCTCCAGCGGCAGCGCCTTCAGGATCCATCCCGCTTTTGTTTGTTTTTAGAGCAGTTTTAGGTTTACAGCGATACTGAGTAGAAGGTACAGAGATTTCCCACATATGTGCTGCCCCCCAACACATAGCCTTCCCCACTATCAACGTCCCCCACCGTGGGGTATGTTTGTTGCAATCGATCTGTGTGGACACATCATTATCACACAAAGTCGCTACTCTACATTAGGGTTCACTCTTGATCTCGTACATTCTGTGGGTTGATGACGTGTATCCACCATTATGGGATCATAGAGTATTGTTCCACTACCCTAAAAACCCTCTGCGCTCACCTGTTCATCCCTCCCTCCCCCATAACCCTCGGCAACCACTGATCTTCCCACTGTCTCCAGTGTTCTGCTTTTGCGAACGTCATATAGGTGGAATCTCACAGCCTTCTCAGAATGGCTTCTCAGTAATGTGCACTTCATGTTCCTCCATGTCTTTTCGTGGCTTGACAGCTCATGTCTTTTCATTGCTGAATAATGTCCCGTTGTCTGGATGGACCAGTTTACTTACCCACTCACCTGCCGAAGGACATCTTGGTTGCTTCCAGTTGGGCAGCTATGAATAAGCTGCTACAAACCTCTGTGGGCAGGTTTTTGTGTGGACATCACCCCAGCGTCTGAGCTGAAGCCACCCACTTCGGGGGCAGCATCCAACTAATGACTGAGCCTGGAGAGGGGACTGGGGACTAGGGACCGGGCATTTCTGCCCAGCACAGAACCTCCCTCGTGGGCAGTCTTGGTCTTGGACATTTTCGGATCCGCAGTGAGGACGGAGACGGTCCCTACTCAATTCTTCCTCCTCCCCTTTTCTCTTTCACAGGCCGTAGCCCCCAGGCAACTGCCTGCACATCTGACCCTATCTCAGTGTCTGCTTCAGGAGGACCCAAATGACCAACTCTACCTCTAAGACCAACCCACAATCCATCCATCATCATGACCCTCAAGTCCCTGTTCCTCCCACCTGGAAGGTTGCATGGCCCCTAGCTGGTCTCCCTGCTCCTTCTCCACCCCTTTGTGACCCAGGCTCCACACAACTACCAGAGAGATCTTTTACAAACACAAAACACATGATGTCACTTCCCTGCAAAAAGCCCTTCAATTGGGCTTAGAATCAAACCCATTCCTCTCCCGCAGCCTGTAAAGCCCTACATGACCTCGCCCAGCCTTTCTTCCAGCTTCCTCTCAACCCTGGAGTTCACACTGCTCCTGCCCCGTTGGCCTTCTTCCTGTTCCTGGAACATACCAAACTCATTTCTGCCTCAGGGCCTTTGCACTAGCTGTTCCCACTGCCTAGAACACTCAGTCTCTCCCCAAATTTCTGCATGGCTGGTTTCTCAGGTCATTCAAGTCTCAGCTCAAATGCAGGCATTTGCTGACAACCTTATAAATACTGCCCATCTCCCAGCTCCCCCCACCCACTTCCACTAACTTTCTTTTTTTTTTTTAACAATTGGCCCTGAGCTAAAATCTGTTGCCATTCTTTTTTCTTCTTCTTCCCAAAGCCCCCCAGTACATAGCTGTATATTCTAGTTGTAGGTCCTTCTGGTTGTGCTATCTGGGACGCTGCCTCAACATGGCTTGCTGAGCAGTGCTAGGTCCGCGCCCAGGATCCGAACCAGTGAAACTCTGGGCCACCAAAGCAGAGCTTGTAAACTTAACCACTCAGCTAAGCGGCTGACCCCTCTGGTAACTTTCTATCATATTCCTTTTTATATTTTCTTTGTAGTTCTCCTTACTATTATAAATTAACTTGTTCATTTAATTATTCATTGGTTTACTGTCTGCCTCCTCACTAGAATATAAACTATGAATTTGTCTTTTTTCCAGCTCTTCCCAGTGCCTGGCACTAAGCCTGGCACAAAGTTGGTCTCAAAACATATATTTTGAATGAATGGCTATATTTAGGGCAGAATTCCCTTACCCTAAGAAGGGAACGAAACCGAAGAAACAAAAACGGAGGAGACAGGAGACTTTAGAGGGAAAATGTGGGAACTGTTGCAATCTCATGGAAGTTCCCTGAGAACCCTTTTCTGACCTTCTCTTGAGGAGTTCTGTGTTAGGATTGGAGGGCAGGTCTCTCCCAGAGCCAGGAGAGATGGGTTTCAGGCCCTCCCTGTCCCGGCCTCCCGCCTCTGACTCCAGCAGCAGCCAGTGTTACCTATGAAGGAATTGGTTCCGCAAATACTCACCAAGAAGCGACCCTGGGTGGGGCCCCAGGCTGGATTCTGGGGACAGAGACGAATCAAGGAGGAAGGAGGCAGTGGCATTCCAGGCAGGGAGACAGTATGAACAAAGGCAGAGAAAGGAGACATTCAGGTGTGTCTGGGGAATTATGCTCCAGGCAGTGAAGGACTGGAGAAGACGCTGGAAGGGTGAGCGGATTACCAACAGTCTTGCAAGAGAAACTAAGATAATAAGACCCACCACTTATTGAGGCTTTCCATGGCCTACTGTTATTGCCCATTTTACAGATCAGAAAACTGAGGCACAGAAGGGTATCAAGAACTGGGAAAGGCCTGAGACTTTACCCTCCTTGCAAACTAGATCACACGACTGGTAACAGGTAGAGGCAGGGTTTGAACTAGGCCTTCTGGCTCCAGAATCCACGCCCTTGACCACTAGGCAGTCCTGCCTCTTAAGGAGTTTGGACTTTCTTCCATATGGGATGGGGGGCCATCAATGGGTTTATAAGTAAGAGAGTGACGTGTTTATATCACAGGTTTAAAAAGCCATTCTAGGGGATAAACACACCAGTTCAAACAAGATGTGACTCCAGCCTCTGGACCCACTTACCCAACTGTCCCCAACTCTCACGGGGAAGCTCACGTAAAGGTGGCACCATTGGTGCCCAAGCAACAGTGTCTCTGCTGCCCTGGGCAGTGGCCCCCGCTCCCGGCCTCCCCTGTCCTGCCCTGGATTTTCCACGACAGTTTCTCCTCGGGATGTCATCTGTGTGTTCCCGTCTTCACAGAACACATGCGGACGCACCAGAAGTCCCGAGACCTCGTGCATCTTCGGGACTTCACGGCCCCTCCTGCCTGCTTTGGCCTCCAGGAGCCTGCCCCACTGCTCTGCTGGGGAGATGCTTCCTCCGAGGCGCGCTGCCTGGGCCAGGTTTCCAGGTCACCGCTTCGATGAGTACTAACTTGCATCCACGCACGCCGGCTCTGGGGTTCAAAGAGCTGGCATTTGATTCATTACTCCCAGAGATCAGGGGAGAAGAGCAGATATGATCCTGGGGCTGGGGGTGTGTGGAGCAGGTGCCCAGGGACCACTGGGCAGGATCCCAGTGGCCAGACATGGTCCCCCAGGGCTGTTGTCTCCTGAGAAATGTTCTGGGCTCTCCCCACTACCAGCACTAAGCAGAGACCTCATGGTAGCCATGGTAGGCCAGGGCCCCAGTTTGAGCCCTCCCTTCAATCAAGAACACAGGCTTGGAAGGGAAACAGACCTGGATGTGGCCTTGGCTCAGGGTTGACCTGGGTGTGGCCTTGGCCAGTGACTCCCAGGAGCCACAGCCCACTTCTCTATCCCAGGCTGCTGCACGAACATCCACAGCCTTCTGAGCATCCTTCCAGGAAATGCCTGGTGGAAAGCTGGAGCTGGAGCTGGATTGTGAGGGATGGTAGGATTTTTTTTTTTAAAGTTTTTAATTGCAAAGTTAATTTGCAACAAAATATATAGAGACATTTTTGACTGGAGAAAAGGCTCCTCCACTGCCCCCACACCACAGCCCACTCCCACCCCTGCTTGTTCCCTCCAGTGCCTGGTCCACATGCCCACCAGGGTTTTGCCATCCTAATATAGACTGCAGTGGGGATAGGGGTCATCTCTGGGCCCTTGATGTTTTGTGCCCCCAAGAATTCAGAGGAGGGAACTTCTGCCACCCTCTGAGATCACAAGAAGATTTTTTTTTTTTTTGATGGAGGTGGAGGGGAGTGAACTCTGCTCCTTCAGGAGGTTGGGGATGGGAAGTGACAGGCAGGTGGCCATAGTATAAATAGAGGTTGGGTCAAAATCTCCAGTCCCCTGGCCCCAACAGTGGCTTCTTTTCTTCCTGTCCCCACGCCCACCCCACCTCCATCCCATGGTCTGCGTCTAGTGATGCGCCCGAGCTCAAATGCTGCTCCAATGCATACTAGCTGCGTGACCTTGGACAGCGACCTGACCTCCGTGGGCCTCAGTTTCCTCAGTTGTGCTGTGAGCATGTCCACCGTGAGGCTTAATTGCAACCGAGCTTGTAGCTCGCTGAGCCCAGAGCCCGACACGGAGAAACGCTCCCGGCAAGGCAGCTGTGGGCATCACGGGTCCGGGAAGGGGGCCAGGGCACAAGAGGGGTGGGGTGGGGGTCGCCCAGGAGTCCCGCCCGCCGAGCGGCCCTCGGGGCGCCGCGTGACGGCGGTGGGATAAAGCTTTCGGCGCCGCCCCGCCCCCGCCGCATCCCGGGCGGCGCCCCGACCTCCGCGCCCGGCACGGAACGGGTGCGGGGCTGGGCCAGGGCCGGCCCGGGGGAGCCTACGGGGCGGGGCTGCCGCGCCCGCTCCCCCTCCCCGCCGCCCGCCGCCTTCTCCTCCTCCCGCCGCCCGGGCTCAGAGCGGCGGCAGCAGCGGCCGCGGCCACAGCTCCAGCTCCGGCTCCGGCTCCCGCTCCGCCCGCTCCTGCTCAGGCCCTGCGCGCCCGGGCCCCGCGCCCCGACCCCGCCGCCGCGCCTGCCGGGGGGCCTCCGGCGCCCCCGCCGCCCGCCTCACGCTGAAGTTCCTGGCCGTGCTGCTGGCCGCGGGCATGCTGGCGTTCCTCGGTGCCGTCATCTGCATCATCGCCAGCGTGCCCCTGGCGGCCAGCCCGGCGCGGGCGCTGCCCGGCGGCGCCGACAACGCCTCGGCCGCCTCGGGTGCCGCCGCGTCCCCGGGACCGCAGCGCAGCCTGAGTGCGCTGCACGGCGCGGGCGGCTCGGCCGGGCCCCCCGCGCTGCCCAGGGCGCCGGCGGCCAGCGCGCACCCGCTGCCGCCCGTGCCCCTCTTCAGCCGCTTCCTGTGCACGCCGCTGGCGGCCGCCTGCCCGTCGGGGAGCGAGCAGGGGGACGCGGCGCCCGGCGAGCGCGAGGAGCTGCTGCTGCTGCAGAGCACGGCCGAGCAGCTGCGCCAGACGGCGCTGCAGCAGGAGGCGCGCATCCGCGCCGACCAGGACACCATCCGCGAGCTCACCCGCAAGCTGGGCCGCTGCGAGAGCGGCCTGCCGCGCGGCCTCCAGGACACCGGGCCACGCCGCGACGCCATGGCCGACGGGCCTTGGGACTCGCCCGCGCTCCTCCTGGAGCTGGAGGATGCCGTGCGCGCCCTCCGGGACCGCATCGTCCGCATCGAGGTGAGCGCAGCGCCGCGCGCCGTCGGGGGCAGGCGCGGGTGGGAGGGGCCGCTCGCGGGCGTCCCGGGTCCAGCCGGCGCCGCCGCCGGGAAGAGGGCCCCTGCGGAGGCCCCTGCGAGTCTCTGAGCCTTAGGTGTCCCGTCTGTGTAAAGGGGACGATGGTCCCTTCCTCGCAGGTGAGAAGGACGTATTCCAGTGTGGCACGCAGACCAGAGTCTGGCACTGTGATAGAGGCGCAGGGGGCGCGCGGGAAGGGCTCGTTCCCCATCCTTTTTCCTCCAGGCACCCCTGTAAGCCTCAGTTTCTGCGTCAGTAAAATGGGTACAACAGTGACCACTTGTAATGAGGACTGATTAAAATGTAGGTATGCGGAAATGCTTGGCACGTACTAGGACCTCATTAAATATCCATTTCATTTCCTTCTTCCAGACACCCCCAAAGCAGCGCCAGCCACCACCCCCCCCCCCCACTCACTCCCTACGGTCAGGAGATAGGACGCGCTGTCCAAGGGAGCCGGGTCCTCCTCTCCTGGCCGAAGATTGGGGGAATACAGTGTCCCCTAAGCCAAACCCGGTGCCCCTCATCACCTCCCCCCCTCAAGTGCCCCACCGGGGCTCAGACCACGGACCCGACAGCAGGAGCTCAGATGGCGCTGCCCAGCCACAATAGCTGGAAGCTGGCAGCTCTGGGATGGGAGCTGAGCAGAGAATAGGGCCCCACCCAGGTTCCTCCTCCTCCACTCACCTTTCCCAGACGTCCTGGCTCAGCCTCAGGGTCAGACACGAGGGGTCCAACAGGGGTAGTCCCGTCTTGTCTGTGGTGTGATCCTGGGCCAGTCATTTCTCCTTTGAAGTCCCTAGACCCCTCTCTCCCTGTGAGAACCTGTTTGGGGCCCCCTGGAAGGGGACAGACCAGCTGGGACAGACATCTGGGAGGCACTGACCACCCCTAGCCATCCATGATTTCTAGACTGTGGGGAAAGATGTTGCCAACAAAACTGGATCTGTAGAAGGAGGGGGAGACAGTGGCCAAAGTGCTGGCTGCCCCTTTACTACTCTGCCCCCAGCTGGCAGAGGCAGAGGAGGAGAGGCTGGCAGGAAGGAGATGCAGGGCATCCCCTGTCCCATAGCCCTCTCCATTAAGTCTCTGGGGGAGCAGCACAGGCCATGCACTATGGCAGGCTGGCCACGCCCACGGCCCAGTGGCCCTCTGGAAAGTCTGTGCTGGTGTCAGCACCCGCCCCGCAGGGAGTCGGAGCACAGCTAGGCAGCTCTGAGACCCAACCTCTCACCTCACAGGTGAGAAACCCGGGGCCCGGAGACCTCCTTGGGTGTGGAACAGAGGCAGGAGGAAAGCCCAGAGTCTGCCAGGCCGGCATCCCCTTTCCCAGGCCAGCTCTGGGCTTTCTGGGATGAGAGAGCCGAGAGCAGGAAAATAATCAGGGGATGCCGAACGCCGACGGCGGAGGGCAGTGTCAGTTTCCTCACCTGTAAAATGGGGACCATGCTGGCACCTGCCACACTGGGTGTCAGGAGGGTTAAATGAGTTAATCTCCATGAAGGGCCCAGAACACTGACTGCAGAGGTATGCTCAATCAATTTGAGTGATTGCTATTTTTTTATCATTAAGCTATAATATTACTAATTTTTAAATAGCCAAAAATAAAAACGGGAGCAAACCCTCCTTTTAGGAAATAGATTTCATTAGTGTAAAAGAAAAAAAGATTTGGTTTTCTGTAAACTTCCTCTTGCCTGCCCAGGCCCTGCCCCCACACCCAGATGGCACCCGTGGTTCCTCCCACGTCGGGAGCTGGCAGGGCTGGGCTTGCCCTGGACCTGTTCCCCCAGCACCTGCGCATTTGGCAGGGTGGGCTTCCCTCCAGTTAGCCTGCTGGGGCGGGGGGATCCTGGTGACTGGGATTTGGCACCAGCTCAGCCTCCCAGGTGGAGGGAGCCCTGGCTCCCCTACACACCGCTCCTGCTTTCTGAGCACAGTGGACGTGGAGGGAGAAAGGCGGGGGCTGCGTGCCCGTCAGGTCTGCCTTCCGGGCTGGCGTCGGCCAGAGCCAGTCTCTTTGGGGTCTTTGGGAAACCTGGGTCCTGAAGCCCAACAGATGTGGACCCCATGCAGCCTTTAGTCACTGTCTAGTTTCTCCCCTCTTTTCTCATCCGGTATCCTCAAAAGAATGCCCCAGATTCTCAGCGTCTGCTTTGTCACCTCTCTTCTCTCTCCTGCCATGGCACACTGAACGTGCTCGTGGTGACGTCACCTGACTTGATAAATTGAACGGGAACGTTTCAGCCCTTATCTTGCTGGACCCCCTCCGCCATCTGACCCCACTGATCGTTCCCGCCTGCAGATCGCCATGCCCTTGGCTTCTGGACGCCTCTCAGCTGCCCATCCTCCCTCTGCTTTTCTGTCCCCTTGCGGGGTCCTCCTCCTTCGACATTTGAGCCCCTCCTGGCTCTCCTCTCCTTTTCCTGGGTGAACGCTGCCCCACCCTGAGGCTTCCAACACCCCCTCCACTGTGGGGCCCCAAACCAAGCTCGTCTCCAGCCCAGGGGTGTCTCGGGAGCTCCAGACCAGTAAATCCAATGCTTCCTGAGCACCTCCTTCTGGACGTCCCACTGCCGTCTACCCTCCTCGTGCCCCAACCTGGACTCAGGTCCTCCGCCAGCCTGCTTCTCAGGGGTGCTCTGAGAAGCCACGCTCGACTCCTCCCCCTCCCTCTTCCTTCCAGTGGCCTCATCTCTGTGGATGATTGCAGCAGCCTCCTCACTGGTCTCCCACCTCCAGGTGCACCCCTCCATCCATCCTCCTCCAGGCAGCCCCAGGGGTCTTCCTTAAGCCCACCGTGGGGCTCCCCTGTGGTGTAAACTCTTCAGCCTGCTCCCAGGCTGCTATTGCCCATCTGACCCACCTCCCAGTTTCATCTTGCTTCTGCCTAGATTACCACCAGTGCGTCCGTACTCATCATTTAAGTCTGCTTGGAGGACACCTCCTCCCAGAGGCCCTCCCTGATCATGCTCTGTCCTCTTCCTACTCCCACTGGTGCTCCCATCATCTCCAACACATCCCGTCCCGTCCCCACCTGGCACGTCTCTGCATCTGCCCCTCCGGCTCCTCGCTCCCACCCCCAGCTGGCCCAGCGCCTCCCCCAGGCCTCAAGTGGGGCCACTTTTGAGGGCTTAGGAGAAATTGTCTTCTTTTCTATTTTTTTTTTACTTTTGTTGTTATTGTTTATTGGAAAAAGTCAAAAGGCATTTTGGGGGGAAAACTGTATTTAATTCTACTGTTTTATCTGTTTTTGCAGCCTGCTTTTTGTCCTTTATCCAAATGTAGACGTTGTCCCAGACTTGTGTTGCTGGTAATTATCACTTTCCCGACGGCCTTAATATCCTGGGCTCCGTCCCTGGCTCCACCATCCATCAGTCCCTTGACCGTCTCCTGCTGCCGGAGATGTAGGTTGTTTCTCAGTATTTTTCTTCTAGATGCTCATTGCGGGATCAGTTTCACGCAGATAGTTGTTTGTTTTCTTCTTTTTAAGTCTGTCGAATTATTTCTCCAGGCTGAATTCCCAGGAGTGGTATTACTGGGTCAGAGGATATTGACTTTTTAAGACTGTGGCCAAGAACCACTTTCCAAAAGGGTTGGACCGTTTATGTGGCCACCGACCGTCTACGCATCTTCCAGCGTTCCATTTTTGCACTAATTTAATCTATGTGTGAAATGAAACTTTAAGATTGATTTAATCAGAAATTCTTTGACGTAAAAACCACATCCTTTAGTGGGTCTGGCAAGCTGGTTACCTCCCCCAACCTTGGAGTAGGAGCCGTGGTAAGGAACACCCTGATGATGGTCCCAGGGGACCCCGGACTTAATAGCAATTATAGCTCACATTTCCTGAGCGCTTGCCTTATGTCAGGCACTGGGCATTGTCTCATTAAATCCTCACAGGGTCTCTCTGAGGGAGGTACTATTCTATCCCCCCTTTACAGATGAAGAAATCAAGGTTCAGAGAGGTTAAGAAACTGGCCCAAGGTCACACAGAAGTGGAGCCTCTCTTCAGTGTCTGGCTTCCTTGTTCCTTATCGTTAATTCTAGATCCCTCTGGAAGGGTCAGACCTCACCCACCTTCAGGAGTGAGAGAGACGGGTGAGAGCAGTGCCTCTTGCTGGAGAGCGCCCTGGAGACTTTCTGCCTCAGAGCAGCCAGGGTGAGCGTGCTGAGGGCCCGTCCTCAAAGGCCTGTCCTGCTGGCTGGCAAGACACGAGGCTCACGTTGGGGCTTTGCTGATAGCAATAAATAATACCAACAACAGGTAACATTTATTAGGCACTTACTACATACGTATTAGCTTATTCAGTAGGCCATGCACATTCCTATCTTACAGGCGAGGAAATGGAGGCTCAGAGCTGGAGGGACCAGAGCCAAGGAAATCACCCGCATCCCCCTTCAGTGTCCCGTCTATAAAGTGACACAGTGGGCCAGCTGCTCCCTAAACGCTTGCAGCTCTGAACATCCTCTGCAATAGGAAGGCTGGATGGCATTCTATTGAGCTCGTCTTGTGACGTTAGGCTAATCATGGTCCCTCGCAGGGCCTCCATTTTCTTATTTGTAAAATGGGTGGAAGGAGGGGCTGGGTTTGGTCTAGGCCTTTTGGGTCTAAATTCTGAGTTCTTGGGCAGATGCCTCCTGATTAGGAACGGAGGGGCCAGGTCACATGTGTGTGCGGCCCCTGGGTCCCCGTCCACCCACCCCCAGACCTGCAGTTTCTCAGGAAAGTCTGCAGATAAACACAGTGGTTCAGAGAGTCTCCTCGTGCCTTTTCTAAAGTCTGCTGGTTGCTCTTACCTTTCTCCTACATTGCTGCCCATTCTGGAAGCTTCTGCCATGTGGGGCCTGCCTCCCCTGCCCCTGCCTCCTTGGCCGTGAAGGCGGCCAGCAGAGTGCGGTGAGAGAGTCCTGTCCGTCGGCCTTGTGTTTGAGGCCAGGGAACC